ATGCCTGTCAGCTCAGCACTGCATACCCAGACCCCTGGGAGGGTTTAGGGTTTAGGGTTTAGGCGGTTTAGGGTTTAGGGTTTAGGGTTTAGGTTTTAGGGTTTAGGTCGTACCCTCTACTACTATTGGGTCATGCTTAGGAACCCTCAAGGGGGGAATCCACTTTTTGGATTCTCCCTGGGGTCTAGGTACAAACGTGGAACGAGCCGCGAAACATTTCGGCTTCCCACCCTGAAACCGTTCTCCCTATAACCTCCGCAAGCGCATGGGGGCTTCTCAAGCTCAACTTCAAGAACTCTAGGGTTTAGGGTTTAGAGCTTAAGGTTTAAGGGAATTAAGGGTCCATCCTTGGGGCCCCAGGAAACCTTAGCCACAGCTCAATCACTCTTCAAGAGTAGGGGCCTTCATAAACTAGAACAGGGTTTTGGGGGGGGGGGGGTCATTATGGTAAAAACTATACAGGGACCAGAACTAAATCCTAAACCCCTAAACCCTCTGGGAGCAGATCTTCCGGAACCCACGAAACTGAGGCCCCCCGCCCGTGACGGGCAGCACGTAGGAGGCGTAGCAGTAAGGAGCCTGTGGGGTTTAGGGTTTGGGGTTTGGGGTTTGGGGTTTAGGGTTTAGGGTTGAGAGTGAAAAACGTCCCTAACTTCTTTTGAGGGTTCTGAAGTATGGTCCCTTGGGTTGTATGGGGTATGTAAGGGGTACCCTTTTAAGGGACGTAGCCTGCCCTAAGCCTTAAAAACCGATGAGGGTTTAGGGCCCTGAAGCCTGTGCATGTGGAGTTGTCCTTACAATTCTGCTTTCTCATGTGAGATACAACGATGTGAAGAGCACCTATTGCAGGTCATTTTATTTTTCGTGACCGGGAATGACTTGAGCTCCTCATTGAGCGAAGCCGAAAGCCCCCCTTCTCGTTCAGCCAGCCGCTCAAAGGAAAGATCAAGGCCTTGAAAAGCAAGACCAGGCATGTGAAGGAGACGACGAAGAGGACCTGCTGTCAGCAGTCCTATGAAGGATTAGGTGTTGGCCCCCCCTGAGAAAATGGAGCCTCTACACCTCAAACAAAACACAAACCCTAAATTGTTTAAGGCCCCTGTAAACCCTAAACTTCTTCAGGCCTGGAACTCCCTCAAACCCTAAACCCTCAAAACCCTAGACGCCGCCTCAAGCCCTCAAACCCTCAACCTCGCAAGTTGCCATGCCTGGGTGGTATTTGTTATTTTCCCTGGTTTGGGGGCTTCTGCGTTTCGGCCAAAGCATGCGGAGTTCCGGCTGGCCTTGAGCTAGAACAACTCAAGATGAACAGCATCATTCGGAAGCAAGTTTTTTAGTCATAACCGTGACCCCGTGTGGCGTTTAGGGTTTAGGGTTTAAGTTTAGGCCACGACACGACAGTGCCTAGGTGCATGAAACCGCGCAGATCGAAAAACTTGCCAGCTGCGAAGACACACTATCGCAATGTGATGCACCCGTCCCCACGCCCCAACCCTAAACCCCAGAAAAAAAATCTGAACCCTAAACCCAAAAGCCTAACCCTGAACCCTGAACCTAAACCTGAAGCCCTTTTCTTCTCGATTAATGTGGGAGTCTGCGGGTCTTTCTTTGGCGAATTCGCCTCCCACCCGGCGTCTGGAATAGTGGAGCGGGCAATGCATGCTCTAGTCTGCAGGGTTTAGGGTTTATGGTGTTTATAGGGGTTTGTAGGGGTGTATAGGGTTTATAGGGATTGTAGGGTTGATAGGGTTTAGGTGCTTCTGGGGTCTGGGCCTTCAACCCTAAACCCTCAACCCTAAGCTCTATCTCCTTAGACACCAAGCTGTCTAAACCCCAAACCCGAAACCGCAAGCCCTGAACCCTACAGAGACATTGGGCCCGATCAAAGCTGGAAGTATTAGCTTCCCTCTCAAAGGGTTCAGGGTTCTCAGGGTTCTCAGGGTTTAGGGGTTTGGGGTTTAGGGGTTTAGGGGTTTAGGGGTTTAGGGGTTTGGGGTTTAGGGGTTGAGGGGTTTAGGGGTTTGGGGTTTTAGGGGTTTAGGGGTTTAGGGCTTTGGGGTTTAGGGTTTAGGGGTTTGGGGTTAGGGGTTTGGGGTCTAGGGGTTTAGGGTTTAGGGGTTTGGGTTTAAGGGGTTTGGGGTTTGGGGTTTAGGGTTTCGGGCTTTAGGGTTGCGATCCAAACATGTCCTCAAGGTCCTACCAAAGCAATGGGAGTCCCTCTCCAGCTAGGCCCAGGAACAAAAAGGGCACCCCCCCCAACCCTAAAAACGGAAATAAGGGCCTACTCTGGGTCACCCAAAACCCAAAACCCAAAACCCAAAACCCAAAACCCAAAACCCAAAACCCAAAACCCAAAACCCAAAACCCAAAAACCCTAAACCCCAATCCAAAAAACCCAAAACCCAAAACCCAAAACCCAAAACCCAAAACCCAAAACCCTAAACCCTAAACCCTAAACCCTACCTAAGCCATGGGAGAGTCCAGCTCCGGTCATTCGCAGCTCGGGAGGAGTCAAAATGTTGGCTTTGCCAACTTGACGCTTTCGCTCTCTGCGCAGGGTTTAGGGTTTAGGGTTTAGGGTTTTTAGGGTTTTTAGGGTTTTTAGGGTTTAGGGTTTCAGGGTTTAGGGTTTAGGGTTTCAGGGTTTAGAGTTCAGGGTTTATAGGGTTTAGGGTTTCAGGGTTTAGAGTTTCAGGGTTTAGGGTTTCGGGTTCAGGGTTCAGGGTTTAGGGTGTTAGGGTTTGTGGGGGATTTCGGGTTTGGGGTTTAGGGCTCAGGGTTTTGGGGGATGTCGGGTTTAGGGTTGAGGGTGATGTCGGGCTTTAGGGGCTAGGCTTCTAGAGCCTTTTGGGGTTTCAGGGCTTGAGGGTTTTAGACCTCGCGTTCTAGAGGGTGAGATTTCCATGTCGCAGTAGCGTTGCCTAAAGCGTCCTGCAGCCCCCTTCGCCTCAAAGCAGGAGCGAGCTTTTGCGGATCGGATCGCGGGGAGGGGACGGGGTTTGTGCTTAGAGGGCTTTGGGTTTGTTGTTAATAAACCCGAAACCCGAACCCCGCAACCCTAAACCCGAAACCCTAAACCCTAACCCTAAACCCAATCTTTAAACCCGTGTTATCCCCTAAAGGGCTCAGGCTCACCCGAAACCCTGAACTGAAACCTTATCCTCCGCGTACATGAGGGGGATAGACAGAGCCTCTTGAGGACTGCTAGTCCCTAAGCACAATTATAAACTCTACGAGCCATTACTTTGGGTAGGACGCCTGCTAATTTCTTGGATTATGTGAAGCTCCGTATAGATAAGACTTAGGAAATGCAACCCTAAACCTCAAGCCACTACCTTAAACCCTGAAGCCCCTAATCCCCAATTAAACTCACCACACTGAACATTACACACATACACACAGATTTCACACTCACTATACAACTACACGGTTTAGGGTTTAGGGTTTAGGGTTTAGGGTTTAGGGTTTAGGGTTTAGGGGTTGATTCCGGCAGGGTTCATACGGCTTGGCTCAAGCAGCCACGTGCCTGGGCCGCCCCTCCGCCCCCTCCCGATGTTCCATGTGGCGCTGGAAGTCTTGGACTGTCCAGTGGCACACTGAGGACGGTTTACGGCGGGGACTCCACCGAAGGGGTTGAGGGTTTACAGGGTTTAGGGCTTCGGAGTAAGGGTTCAGGGGTTTCGTAGAGGGTTTAGGGTATAGGGTTCACGGTGTAGGGTTCAGAGTTTCGGGTTTATGGTCAGGGGCCTTGGGTGTTAAGGGTTCATCGGCCGATGTCGTGGGGCCTCAGTCCGGTGACCTTGACACGGCATCTGTGCGTAGCTTTGTCTCTCTTTTGCCGGGGCCCAAGGGCGCAGGATCTTTTTGGAGAACGCCTCTCTCTGACTTATGGGTTAAGGTTGAAGTTGAGGCGTATTGTTTCAGAGTTCAGCCAGCTACTATTTGCTTAAGAACCGCCCCCCCCCCACCGCCAAAAAAATAAAAATAAAAATAAAAAATGAATAATCCCTATATTACCCTTTATAAGAAAGAATACTTTTATTTTTTAGGGGGTTCAATACAAAAAGATAATCCCTACATTGCCTTTTGGGAAGAACATAGCGTTTTGGATTTTTTGGGGGGTTCTTAAGCAATTGGTAGCTAGGGCTTAGGCTTGTTCATTCATTGGGATGCCGGCAGCAACATGAGCCTTCGCCCGAGCTTTGGCCATGGCCCAAGAGGGAATGGGTTTAGGGTTTAGGGTTTAGGGTTTAGGGTTTGGGGTTTGGGGTTTAGGGTTCGGGTTTAGGGTTAGTGTTCAGGGTTCCAGGGTTCCAGGGTTCCAGGGGTCAGGGTTTAGGGTTTAGGGTTGAGGGTTTAGGGTTTACGAATGTAGGGTTTAGGGTTTAGGGTTTAGGGTTTAGGGTTTAGGGTTTAGGGTGCCCCTTAAGCCCCAGAAGCCCTCAAGGCCAGCACAGGCTTTTGTCCGGCCTTCGCCAGGCCGTCACTCCTGGAAGGGGAAAAGGAGGGACCCTTCATCTTCTTCCCCTACATATAAGCCCTATATACACTTGATTTAACCCCCCTATATACCTAAGTAGCCCCCCCCCCCCCCTAAATCAACCCCAACTAACCCCTAAGGTACCTTATCACAATCCTCCTTTAGCCCCTTGACAGTCAAGACAAGTCTCGGGTCTAGCACTTGAACCAAATCGGACCCATGCGCCCATGCTCAGGGTTTAGTGGGGTTTATCGGGTTTAGGGTTGAAGGCTTGGGTTTAGGGTTGGGGGTTTAGGGTTTAGGGTTTAGGGTTTAGGGTTTAGGGTTTAAGGTTTAGGGGCCCTTCTGTTCACAGGAGCCCCCTTGCTGTAAAGATATCTCTCTTTTGTGGTCTCTGGCAAGCTAGCTTCAGACAACTAGAAATTTGCACAAGAGACGCCCACCCAAAGCGATGTGGCACAATAGGACACCTTGTGGGTTTTGAAGTTCTGTGTATGAAAGGTGGGGGCAGGCTGAAAGATCACTCCGACTCCCACATGGATTTCAAGGCCAACAAGTACTTTCGGATCGTGCGCTCATGCAACGTCCGCGACGCTACATATCTCGAAATGGTACTCACACGCCCCACGAAGTCTTCATCTAACTGGGTTGCGTATGACACCGGGTTTATGGTTGCCTGCCGATTCAACTTGTTGACGCGGAAAGCATATAACACCTCGCCAGCCAAGTGAAATTTAGGTTGGATCTTCCACGTGCAGAGATCCGTGTCAAAGGCAAACTGTGCGCAGGCTTCGTACTTTTGCAAAGCACCGCCCAGGAACTTGATAGCAGCGTCCCTCTGCCTCTTCGTAAGCCACAGCCCAGCATTGAAAAGCAGCTTCATAAACGCATTGGTAAAATTTAGGGTTTCGGGGTTCACTGTTGGGGTCTAGGGCTTAGGTTTTTCTTTGAGGTTTAGGGGTTACTCTAAACCCGAAACCCTAAACCCGAACCCTAAACCCTAAACCCTAATTTCGGGGCTTAGGGTTAGGGACTCACAGCTTCAGTCGGGAGGCCTCGACATTATTTGCAAGGGCTCTTCTGGCGAAACCTCTTCAGACGACTTCTTGTTCACAAGGCCCTAAACCCACCCAAGCCATACCACACCCTGCACCCTACATCCTACAACCCATACACCCTGCTCCCTATCACGAATCCGAAGCCTATAGACCCTTAAAGGCCTGAACCCCGCAACGATCGGCGCAGGCCCTTGAAAGCCCCGAACCCTCAACCCTAAACCCTAAACCCCAAACCCTAAAACCCTAAACCCTAAACCTCAAACTCCAAACCCCAAACCCTAAACCCCTAAACCGAAAGCCCTCAACTGCGACAGCGAGTTTCCGGCCTCCTCTGTGCCAGGCTTGAGATCGCTCTCAACCTCAGTAGCCAGGGCCCGGAGTTTTGGGGGTTTAGGGTTTAGGGTTTAGGGTTTCGGGTTTAGGGTTTAGGGTTCAGGGTCTAGGGTCTACGTAGGGTCTAGGCTTTAGGGTTTAGGGTTTAGGGTATAGGGTTTAGGTTATAGGGTATAGGGTTTAGGGTACTCCAGCAACCATATTGTGATAAGGGTATCCTTTTTCGGCTTCGAGTGACTTGCAAAGGGAACCTAGAACCACCAAATAGGGAAAAGGGTACCACCGGGCTGCCAGGAGTTTAGGGTTTTCGGGTTTCGGGCTTAGGGTGTAAGGTTTAGGGCCAAGGACCCTCAGAAGAATATGGGACAGGTAAGGGGAGGAGACGGCGGGGGGATGGGCGAATCTGGGTTAGGTTAGACCTCAGGAAGGGTCGTACCTGTCTCACAAACCGTGGGGACCGCCAAAACTCTTCTAGGGGATGACCAAGCGTTTGTAGCCAAGAAACATCGGGTTTAGTGGGTTTCGGGTTTTAGGGGTTTAGGGGTTTAGGGGTTTAGGGGTTTAGGGGTTTAGTGGTTTAGGGGTTTAGGGGTATAGGGTTTTTGCACGTTTCAGGGCTTTGGTCGGCAACATGCCCCCCAGCCCAAAGACCCAGCTTGAAGCTCTCTGAAACGCGCCCTGAAGCCCAACTCCTTCACGTCTTCCCAGGGAAGCCTAAACCAACAACCATGCCAAAAGCCGGATGTCTAAAAAACAAAGACTTTTCAACATGGCGTCCCTGTTTCAAAGGCCCCTCAACCCGAAGCCTTAAAGCCAGTGAGGTCTAAAAAGAGCAACCCCAAAATGTGGCGAGCTACGACTGCACTGCTCCCTCCCCCCCGCCGCCTGCCCTCCCCCCTCCCCACCCCTAAAACCCTAAACCCTAACCGCAAACCCCAAAACCCTAAACCCTAAACACCCCAAGCACTTCAAAGTCAAGCTTCCAGTTGGTCCAAGCACTGGTACGCGCCGGAGTAGCAGAGGAACGGCCGCAGGACCTCACTGGGCATCGGTGGGCTTCATGCGGGATGTTTAGGGTTTAGGGTTTAGAGTTGAGGGTTTGGGGCTTAAGGGTTTAGACTCCTCTACTCCTACTCCTCCTCCTCCTCCTCCTCCTCCTCCTCCTCTGCATATCGCGTTATCTATGCACCACGCCCCTCTCCAACAACAACAAACTCGACCCTAAACCCTCAACCCTAAACCCTCAATCCTAAACCCTAAACCCTCAACCCCCTAAACTCCGAATCAGACAGGGGCTTCCTTTCGGAGCGGTTTTCGGGCTGATCCTACGAGAAATTGGGGGGGAAGGACCTACATCTCCTTCATGGCACAGGGCTTCGGGCTTTGGGCTGAGGGCTTAAGGCTGAAGGCTTAAGGGTTCAGGGTTTAGGGTTTAGGGTTTAGGGTTTAGGGTTTAGGGTTCAGGGTTTAGGGGTAGGGGTTATACTTCTAGGGAGCAAATTCCGAGCCCTTGCCCGGGAGCCATGGTGAACTGTGGCTACTCTGGTGTCGTGAGTGTGCCTTGCTGGCGAACCCTACTAACAACTGCCTTCACCTACATTCACCCAGAAACTCTTCATAAGGAATCTTCCTTAAAGTGCATACAAATCCGAAACTGGCTTGAGAAATATGATGCAGTCCTTACTGGAGTCTGTGGGCAATGGGGGAAGCACGGGGAACTTAGCACGCTGTGTAAACAGGCAGCCTGATAGCAACAACCTTGTGTTAGGAGTCCCTAAACCCTAAACCCTAAACCCTAAACCCTAAACCCTAAACCCTAAACCCTAAACCCTAAACCCTAAACCCGAAACCCTAAACCCTAAACCCTAAACCCTAAACCCTAAAGGGCCACTTCGTTGCGCGTGTGTCTCATGAGATTTTCCATGGACGGCTTCCAAACCCCTCAGCCCTAGGCCCTAAACCTTTTCCTCATCCGGCACCAGCAGACCCTCAATGGCCATCAGCTGCAAAAAAGAAGTCCGTGTCCGAGAATTTTCGACAACAGCACAACGCCCGAAACCACTGAAGCCTCGAAACCCTAAAACCCCAATGTAGCATTTCGGGTTTAAGGGTTTAAAAAAAGGCCAGTTTCGGGTTCGGGGTAGAGAGAAAGCCTGCAAGCCTACCAGCCGCATAGCCCGAAGACCGAATCCCGAAAGCCCTGAAACGCTAAGAGCTACAAACTTTCAAAAAAACACTCGACCCAAGAGTAAGCTAGGAATGAAAAGGGTACCCTTTTTGGTCTAACCGGGGGGTGATAAGGAGAAAGAACAGGAATGCAGGCCTACTTCGGGTCCATAAGCTCTCGAAATTTGGGATGCTCCCCCTTTATACTAACAGTCCTTAATACGGATCATAAGGGGTACTATAAATCCCTGTTGAGGACTGTTAGAAAAAGGCGAACATGACCCAAAGTCCACCCCCAAACCCGAAACCCGAAACCCGAAACCCCAGAGTCCACCCCCAAACCCGAAACCCTAAACCCGAAACCCCAAACCCTAAACCCTAAACACGAAACCCTAAAACCTAAACCCTCGAAATCTTCTAAACTGCCCTTAAAGAAAACTTTTCGGAGCACTCACCTCGTGGATGTGCTTCAGCAGGGGCTCCGTGACCTGAGTCTTTGGGTGGGTTTAGGGTTTAGGGTTTAGGGTTCAGGGTTCAGGGTTCAGGGTTTAGGGTTTAGGGTTTAGGGTTTAGGGTTTAGGGTGTAGGGTGTAGGGTGTAGTTGGAAGATGCTTTCATGGCTTGGGGTTTACGTGTTTGGGCTTTCGGGGGGGGTTTGTCGAGCTTCGGGTTGAGGATACCTGCAGGTTCCTGAGGCTTCTTGGCAGGAGTCAGGGCACCGCTACCTTGCGACGCTCAATATCAGTGACGTCGGTGTCGCTGGAGCACATGGGAGCCGCGAGGGTTTCTTGCTTATTGTTTAGGGTTGGGCTGTTCCCCCTTATGCTAGCAGTCCTTAGTAGGGATCAGAGCAGGGGGAACCTATCATCCCAACTAAGGACTGTTAGGATAAGTTGGAACTTTCCAAGTCTAGGGTCTAGAGGAAAGCACACTACAGCAAGCTAAGCAAGAAGCGCGCGGACGACCAACTCGGGTCTTCAAAGCTTGGAGTTCGTCAAGCACACTGGATCCTAAGCTTGGCCCGACCTGGGACCCTCTTTACCTACAGTTTTATAGGTTATACCGTTATACCTACTTCCAGGGTAGTTCCTACTAATCTTTAGGTAAAGAGGGTCTCAGGTAACCCCCACACTAAAACCTGAAACCCTCGAAAACAACTTGGCCGATGCTTTCAAAGAAGAAGCATGCCCATGGCAGAGCTCGACTTGTTAGAGCCCGAAACCGCCCATACCCTCACGCCCTCAACACCTAAACTGCCTCCAGGGTTAAGGGTTTAGGTTTAGGGTTTAGGGTCTAGGGTTTAGCCCTAAACCCCCGAAAGCTCGAAGCCGCCTAAACCTCAGACCCCCCAAAACCACTTCTCAGGGCCCGCGCGCGTGGAGGAAGATGGCTCAAGTCCTGGTGAGAGAGAGAGAGAGAGAGAGAGAGAGAGAGAGAGAGAGACAGAGAGAGAGAGACCGAGACACAGAGAGAGAGAGCTGCGGATTTGGGCTCATAAGCCCCCATACGCTTAATCCGTAGAACCCTAAAACAAAACCAACAAAAACGAACGCCCTAAACCCCTAAAACCCTCCACACAGAGCAAACGAGAACCCTAAAACCCTAAAAGCCTAAAACGCTAAAACCCTAAAACCCTAAAAGCCGAACACGCTGAAACCCTAAAACCCTAAAAGCCCAAAACCCTAACAGCCTAAAACCCTAAAACCTCAGCTCAGAACCCGACCGCAGTACACAAATAGCGGCCTGTGCATCTGGAATGGGTCTTCTGGGCAAATGAGACTGCTAGGGTTTAGGGTTTAGGGTGTAGGGTTCAATGTTTAGGGTTTAGGCTTTAACTATATTGGAGGCACCCCTAACCCCCAAGACCCGCTAACCCCCTCAACCCCCAAACTGTTCACCGCAAAGGGCCCCCAAACGCTGCAAACCCAAGCTCCTATATGAACGCCCTAAAACCCCCACACCCTAAACCCTAAACCGGCCCTTTCTGTTTCCTACTGAAAATCGCAACAGGTACAGTAGAACCAACGACCTGGCGTTTAGGGTTTATAGGGCTTAGTGTTTGGGACTTCGGATTTGGGGCTTGGGGTTGACAGAGGGTTGAGGGGCAGGCCTAGGACGTCGGTGCTCTAGAACTGAAAACTCCTCAGCCCAATCCTCTTCAAACCAACAAGACGCGACAATGAAAAACATCCCAGGTCCTACCGTATACGAGGAGCTATGTTCGCCTGTATTGGGGTAAGCTTAGACCCTGAACCCCCAAACCCAAAACCTGAACTAAAGCCCAACCCCCCAAACCCCAAACCATAAACCATGAACCCCAAAACCC